CCAGCGACTTTAATCTCTCTCTCTCAGCTGCGGTATTTACAGTTTTTATTATTTTGACTTGAAAAAATTACTAAACTTTCTTGAAATGTTGTAAAACCTGCCGTGTGTGTAATATTAATTTTAATGTAATGTTAATTATTTAATACTAGCTGGTTACCCGGGCTTCGCCCCGGTCTTTTTTTTCACCACCCGTAAGAATTAAAAAAATCGGTTTCCAGAAAATCGGTAACGAAAAACTACACACTCTATATAGCACTTCCCGGAAAAATCTACCCTATTTTATATATTGGGGTAAAAATTTGGTCCAGCCGTTCTTGAGTTATAAATGGTGTAACTAACCCGACTTATATATATAGATTAACATATTGAAAAAAATCGCAAAAGCTTGGAGTTAATAATGTAATCCTGTTTTAAAAAGTTTTTGGGGTCATGCTGACCCCTAGGTGGCCACGAAGGGTTAACATAATAATAAAGTACTATAGTAAATATTATATCAAATTAACCTTAGTGGCTTTCTTTTCTTTCAATTTAATAAACAGTAATATTTAAGAAATATAAATAAAGTTGAAAAAAGAATAATTTACGTAATTTTTTAAATAAAACCTTAAAGTAAATAATACATGCTTCTTATTTCATGTTTTATAAAAATAGTTTATTTCAATATTTTTGTTTTCTTAAACCATAGGAGAACTGTGCCTAATATCGTCCTTGTTCCTAATTCCGCACCCTATGATATTAAGACTAGGCTGTTACGTGTTGCATTCTATCAGTGAGCAATAGAAGCTGTTGAACAACGCTGCTTGAGACGATCTTTTGTCTTATTTTAGTCAGAACTGTTGATATAAAAAGTAGCGTGGCAGTTTATAGTTTTAAAGAAGTTTCGAAATTTTGTAAAAGATGTTTTACGTTATTAATACAGCAAAAAAGATATGTACTAACAACAAATTTCTGCCATAAAAACATGTGATATTGTGTCTAATTTTATTCCTAAATTAGAGATATTCGTCGCATTATTGTGATGCTTTAATCGCGGATTATGTTTCTTCCTTGCGATATTCCTAATTCCGCCCTCTAAGAATGTTCATTATACTACCCATTTTTCTTAACTGGTCTGCCTCTACCTCTGAAGCTCCCTCACCCTCCCGTCCAATAATTTTAAATCGGCTAGGCGGGATGCTGACCACATCACTCCACCCTACAGTCGATGAAACACCATGGGCTTCCTTAATCATTAAAAGATGATATCTTTATTAACTCTATGTCCTATTTTGAGTTGTTTCTATTTCCAGCATATATTGTGTGTCCTAATTGTATTTTTACCAAAAATACGTAAGGGTGCGATATTAGGGTCGGCCAAAGGGAATGATCACGAAAATCTCATTGTGCATATTTCGGGAGCACATAAATCGATGAACATTTTAAGACAAAAGCCAATTCGCTATCTGTATTTTAACTGGTACTTTACTCTTGTACCTTCGGGTCGGCCGAAAAATCGTGAATAGAGCACATAATTAGCACATAAAGAGCACTTAATTTCTGCATATGTGTTATTTCGTTTTTTTTGTGGGGGAGGGGTGTTAACTTAACAGACATGTTTAAAAAACTAAAAAATGTATTTAATAATACTATTACAAGATCCGCTTCGACCAAAAATGGCACTTTTCATTGCTTGTGTTATTTTAAGTTTTTTTTCTAATTTTGCATAAGATACTTAATTTTTTTAATTAACATTAATTTTTATTAAATATTTTCATAAACAGTGAACGACACAATTTTTGTATCAGTTTTGTATCGTGCAGTCTACTCTTAAATAAAAACACGTACCTCCCCCCCTCCAAATCGACCCCAAGCTATCGATCAAGCCTACTTAGAACTTGATCCGTTCACTCGTTATTGAGATCTCAAAATCTCGGGTACTCGCAACTCGTGCGTTCGCGTAAATGAGTCACGGTGCGTCTCGCTCCGCGCGTACTTGGCGCGAGATACTGCCGTGTCTCTTGATAATAAAGTAGACTCCCACACTTAAAAAATAACATTTAAAAGTAACAATTTTCTGAAACTTATTTAAATCATATACTATATATATAAAACATAAGAGATATTTTTTCCCATATAAATATCATTTGGTTCTTATTAGAATTTTATTTAATCTGACGTTAATTTAATTTACATTTGATTTATATTTGAATCAAATTATATTTGAATTTATTACCATATTACGTCCACAGTTGGAAAATTAAAACCATATTAACACACTGCATTTCCTTAATTATGTTTGTGCGGCTGATTTTGCATATCTTAACAAGGTCACGTATAATAAGATTCTTATTGAACTCACATAAGCTTCTAATATTGTTTTAATACAATCGTTTTTCGCGAGTACAGTTTATAATACACTGCTCAAAAAAATTAGGAGATTACTTTTTGTCAGTAAATTTTTGTCCATTTGTAAACCGTAATTACTCAGCGAATAATTAACGTAAAAGAAAGGTTAAAAAAGAGGGTTTTATAGGGCAAACTCTCTACTGTAAGGTGCTTTTGTTCAATTTCACTCAGGTTAATACTCAAAGGCGTAGTCAGCTTTGAATAAGGATGTATTTGAGATATTCAAAATGTTGAAATTTTAAATCTTTCACCGCCTAACAAAAAAATTGGTGAACATAATTATTAATACCATCTCAAAGTACGGACTTTGCCCTTTTAAATGAAAAAAGAACTTTGTTCTACGCCGATTATTTAGCCGATTTAGCGAGATATCATAATTTAAAGTAACCTCTGTTTTTTTTTGCGATTACAAACCTTCCTTAAATGACTTTCTTTAATGATACTTTATGTAAGATTACATATATAGCTTATACACTTTTTAAGCAAAAATCGGTAACTTTTTCACCGATCTTTGCTTAAACTCTATCCATAAAAAAAATTTAGCTTGATATCTCAAAATTTGCGGAAATTAGAGCAATCACGTAATTTTTTTGAACAGAAATCGGTAACCCTTTTATTATAAGCAATTTTTCTAATTCTATTATATTCTTTAATCTCTTCTACCCCTATTTTATATATAATTCTTTAATAATAAACTAAGTATAGGCTCTTCTGAATGAATCAAATAAAAGAAAGTGAGAGAGGCAATCGGAGCCACGGTAATTAATGCGCAATCAAAATATATAAGTAGTCAATAAGATAAAATATATTAGTTAATACATATTCGATAAAGGCGTTTCGACACTTTCTTTGTGTCATCTTCAGCGCATAAACAAATTATACATAAAAATTAAACAATATATAAATTAACAGTCAAACGCGATAAAATGATATAGTGATAGTCGATCAATAGACAAGCGCAGTTAAATCATTAAAATAAAAATCTTACGAATGTTCGGTAGTCTGTCAGGCTGTGGATATGCCAGTGTGCAATTGCTCCGAATCGATCGCATCTTCGACGCTTAACTTCCAGGTTGGAAGACCAGGAAGAAAGGAGAGATTCAAATTCGATTGTCGAAGCATTACAGAACAGAAATTCGCAGTTAAAATGTACCTCATGTACATACCTGTCACTCTGACGTATCGTGAGTCAGTGACTATATATTTTGATTGCGCATTAATTACCGCGCGTGGCTCCAATTACCTCTCTCACTTTCCTTTATTTAATTCTTTAATATTATCATATACTTATAATTCTTGATATCTCAAAATTTGCGGAAATTAGAGCAATCACGTAGATTTTTTTAAACAGAAATTGGTAACCCCTTTATTATTAGCAATTTTTCTAATTCTATTATATTATATAGTCTCTTCTATCCCTATTTCATATATGGTTAATCAGTTCTTGAGTTATAAAAATTTCGGTAAATTTGTCACATATATAAATACACACACACACACACACACACACACACACATACGGACATTTTTTAAAATTGCGATTTTTCGACGTTTTCGAACATAAGGAACACATTGGCATCGAAAACTAAAAAAACAATTTTTTCTTCAATATTTTCTACCCCTATTTCATATATAATATTTTAGAATTTGGTTGATTATATCTAGCTTTATACGCGATCAAAGGTTCATACACGAGGTTTACGAAAACAAAGCTTCCTCTATGAAGAAGCAAAATGTAAATTACATTTTCTATTGTGGGTACTATATCTCGCTCTCCTTCTCTCTTCCTTCACCTCCTTCTTCTATCCCTGCCCTTATTCTTTTGTCTTGAACGGAAATGGTTTAAATTAACCTTACGAAAGGAGAACCTTAAAAACACTATATATATGGCTGGTTTACATTACAATAGTCATTCGACAATTGGTTTATAAAGTGATCAGAGTCATTTCTCCGCAGAACTAAAACAATATCATAGTAATAATACGAACATCAAGACCAGGTACAGTTGACAGTATAATAATTAAGTAAGAAAAAGGAGTAGGGTAACTCGGGGGAATATATGCCACACTTAAGAAAAATATGATTTTTTTCCTATTTTACTTTCTTTTTGAGGTATCTTTGCATACTGGTCTTCTTTTTCCTTCTTTCTTTTATCTGTTATTTATATATGGTTTTAATGAAATATTTTGATTCTTTACTATTAAAAAGAAAGAAATACAAAAGTGTTGCAAAAGTGGCATATTACCCCCATGTGGGGGTAATATGCCACATATACAAAAATGTATAGTAATTTAACTTTAGAAGAGCATTCTTGTCTAAAAACATGTAAAGAATATTTTTATTACAATTTCAATAAAACACTAAGAAAATTCTAAAAAGCACGTTGTCATACTTGTCATACGGTACTGTACTTACCCCATAAAAACTATAATACTGACAGGAAGTAAGTAAAACTTGGGCAAAACGTCAGATATAATATTTTTAACAATTTCACAGTATTTACAACAACGCTCCTAGCCATAGCTTTGTTAAACATAACGAGTGGCATATTCCTCACACTGGCATATTCCTCCCAGTTACCCTATATATAAAATACACATATAGCACTTTTTTAGATTATCCGAGAAAATAATAGAAATCATGGATGACACAAAAGCATATAGATTGTGGAATATTCAGCCCGGCGAGGAGATTGTTATTTCTGGTATTGCTGGTAGATTTCCAGATTCAGACAATATGAATCAGTTACGAGAAAATCTTTTCAATAAAAAGGACCTTGTTAGAGCAGATCATGGGCGATGGAAGACAGGTGATTATTTCATATGCACGATAGTTCTGCATTCATGCCTGATTGGTAGATAAATGATATGACACACAATCAAATTACAATTAAGGGAAACGCCGTAATCGGTCAGGACTGAATCTTGAATGGAAAAATGTTTCAGACAAAAGTTGTATGGTCTAAAGGGAGACACATTATTGATCGTAGATATATTAGATGTCGTTTTCAAGAAATGTTAAAAGCGACTAAATCCTTAAATATATATATATAGAACTTAATTTTGATGACTTACATTGGAATCATGTATCCCCCTTTAGACCATACAACTTTTGTCTGAAACATTTTTCCGTATCTTCCATATTTTTCGAGATATTTGCCTGCGTCGATTAAAATGACTCACCCTGTATGTATACATATATACAGGGTGTCCCAGAGCACCCTTGGCAACGCTTGTGAAGAGCTGTAGAAGGGATCGAGATAAACAAAAAAGTCTTCTACAATTTTGCGATATTCGCAATAGTTGATGAGTTATTAATTAATACGTCTAAGCAAATCTGCGCGTGACGCGTGAAAAGCAGTAGCCCGGACTTGGCATTGGCCTAGTTTACACCAATCTCTTGATTCGCCGCGCAACCTCGCTCCTCGCTTCTCGCCACTCGCCAACGCGCGCGCCTGCCGAGTCCGACCTACCGCTTCTCATTTACTCAAACGTATTAATTAATAACTCGTTAATTATTGCAAATATTCCAAAATAGTACAAGACATTTTTATTTATCTCGATTCCTTTTACCTCATCACGAGCATTGGATACTGTGCGTTGAGACATCCTGTATATTAAGGAATAGTTATTTGTGTAACAAATGCTGTAAGATGAAAATTCCCGGGTGCGGTGACCGCACTCGCCTTCGGCTCGTGCGTCAACTCCGCACCCGAGAATTTTCATCTTTACGCACGGCTTGCACACCCTATTTTATGTTGCAAGTGCGTGGAAAGTGGTCTATCACACACGCGTAGCGTGCATAATGGGCCACTTTCCATGCACGTGTTACATAAATGTATTTTAAACTAAAGTTATATGAAAAAGTGAACGAGGAGCGTAACGCTTTGTGTGAAATTGTACGTTTCGTTAGATCATCCGGATGTACCAAGTCGTATGGGAATAGTTAACAATTTGAATAAGTTTGATGCGGATTTCTTCGGATTATTTTTCGAGGAAGCACACACACTTGGACTTGAGACGAGAATGTTACTGGAACATTCTTATGAGGCAATTATCGATGCCGGTATTAATCCAAAGCAGTTACGAGGAAAAAATACTGCCGTAATTATAGCAGCATCCTTTTCTGAAACGCAAAATAAATTTTTGTTTGAAGATCTTGAGGTAGAGAAAATTATTAATTAATAAGTGTAATAGATGAGATTATTGAATTTATCATTCATATGCAAGAATTAATTGTAATCGCGAACTTTCTGCAATTAGATAGGTGGTTTGAATCTTACTGGATGTCACAAATCTATAATGGCAAACATGATTTCGTACTATTTGGATTTGAAGGGACCATCATATGTAATTGATACAGCTTGCAGCTCTAGTTTTTATGCCATGGCCGCTGGTTATCATTGTATCATATCGGGCAAATGTGAAGACGCAATAATTGGGGCTGCACATTTATGTCTTAATACAACTACAACTCTGCAATTCGCTCGTCTTGGTACTTTTACTGAAACTAATTAATCTTATAATATAATGAGCAAAAAATTAAAGGATTACATTTTTGTCATTTGCATACAAGAAACAGAATGGTGTAAATTTAGTAAAAACATTTGTAATTTCTCTGTATATACTATTATATATACAGGGTGTCTCTAAAGTCTGACTCAGCCTCTTAGATCTTGGAAACGAGTTTAGATGTGGAAAAACGTTCCAGACAAAAGTTATAGGATATTAATGGGGGAAGATGATAACAATATGGACTTGATCTTTAGTGACCTTTTCAAAGCCAGATCAATGTAATCGATGTTTTCTTAAATGGAACCTTATTTTAAAATGGAACCATTTTTTATTGTATTTTCTTATAAACTGGCCCGGGATAAAAGGTTTAGATCTGACTAGATCAAATTATATTTTAGCAGATCAAATTTTATTTGGTCAGATATGCTCAGATATGACTTCTCATTTTTTCCTGGGCCTTGTCGGAACGTTTTGAAAACACTATAATAAAGCTCTTTTTCATTATTTCCTGAGATATTTTAAATTTTGTCAATACTTTTAATATAAAATATAAAATATTTCGTACAGTATTCACATTTTGATGACTTTACCTTGATACTTTAATACGTAGAATAATGAAAGTAATCAATTTTTGTAAAAAGAAACAAAAAATTATTTTTAAAAATTTGATTGTATTTTATAAACGCATTTAATTTTGCAAAATTGCAAATGTAAAAATTAATATTATTATTTGAATATAATAGTAAAGGCTCACAAGATTAGAAATTAATCAAAAAAAGATGGAGCGTGAAGCCGTAACAAAGGTGTTGGTGTTCATAAATTCTATACTTACGTAAAGAATTAACGAATTATAATATACTGTACATATACATATATTCCAATTTAATAAACTACGCGCCGCAAATTTGTCGGACTTGAAACACAGCTATCTTGGAACATTAATACCCTTCCCTACCTCGGAATTAAATCTACACGATTTAATTGTTTGAAAAAACGTAAAGAATTTATTGCGAAAAATATTACCTTAGCCAGGATTCGAACCTGGAATCCCCCTCATTCCGTGAAGGGCGTCGTACCAATTCGACTACCGAGGCATGTGGTAATATTTATCGCAATAACCGGTTATTAATAATAAACTTGAAAAACGCATGTCTATGCCCGCGTATATAAATATAATAGTAAAGGCTTACAAGATTAGATATCAATCAAAGTAAGATGGAGCGTAGACTTTCAAGTCCGACAAATTTGCGGCGCGCAGTTTATTAAATTGGAATATATGTATATGTATGTACAGTATGTACATTGCAATTCGTTAATTCTTTACGTAAGTATAGAATTTATGAACACCAACACCTTGTTACGGCTTCACGCTCCATCTTTCTTCGATTGATTATTATTTCATTCTTTTCATTATTCTACGTATAACAGCAATAAGGTAACCGAAAAGTGAATACTTTACGAGATATTTTATATTTTATATTAAAAGTAGGAAAAAGAGTCAAATGGGAGTCACTCAAGAATAAAGTCAAAATGATTAAAAAACGGGTAATTGTTTCAAGACAAACAATTGTTTACATATATTACTAAAGTCTACTGTAATAATAAAATGTGATAAATTATGGTAATATGTATTTTTAATACTCATATTTCATGACCAAAGATCGACGAAAATTACAATAACAGAGTGCAAAAACCACTTTAAGTCTTTTCAGACACAAAACGACAACTGAGCAGAGATTTAGTGCATTAGTTAACCCTTTTTCGAGTCTCTTTAATCCAGGACTAAACAAAACACGCTCAAACTCACTCGGATACACCTATCACTGCATGACTCTCATTACCCCGTATATAGCCACCATTACCCCGTGTTTCCCTATCATGACAAAATTTAAAATATCTCAGGAAATTCTTAATGAAAGAAAGCTTTATATAGTGTTTTAAAAACATTTTGACAAGGGCTACAAGAATATGCAATAAAAAAATGGAGAGTTCTATTTAAGAAAACATCGATTACATTGACCTAGCTTTGAAAAGGTCACTCAAAGTCAAGTCCATGTTTTCATCATCTGTCCCCCTTAATATCCTACAACTTTTATTTGAAACGTTTTTCCATATCTGAAGCCATTTCCGAGATCCAGGAGGCTGGGTCAGACTTTAGAGACATTCTGTATATACAGTACCGTCCATAAGTTCCCGGACACCTCAAAATTTCGAAATAAAAGTCTAAAACTTGGTTGAACCATATTTATTCAGACTTTCTGTGATACATTGTTTTTAAAAAACTAAAAACTAAATGTACTTTTGGGATTAAAGTTGACTTTCATAAAAAAACTAAAGTTCTGGTTCGTTGAAGAGTCCACTTTTTGCCTTAATAACTGCTTTACAAATCAGAGGCATTCTCCTGATCAATTTCTCAAGAGATTCAGATTCAATAGACTTCCAGCTTATTTGAAAGCGCTGTCAAAGGGCGTTGATATTTGTGGAAGCCTCTGATTTGTAAAGCAGTTATTAAGGTGCGGATTCCTCAAAACTTCAGTTTTCTTAAATGAAAGTCAGCTATAACCCCAAGAGTTCATTCAGTTTTTTGTTTCATCAAAATAATGTATCATAGAAAGTCTGAATAAATATGGCAATTTTGAGATGCCCGGGAACTTATGGACGGTACTGCATGTATCTACAGAATGTCCAAAACAAAAGTATCCAGCCAAAAGAATGGGATAGATTGGATTAAACTGAATATAAAAGTCATTTACTGGACATTTTCTTCTTATTTTAATGCGTACTACCTGCTCTCAAAATATGGGACATTTTTTAAAAATATTCTGTATATGTGCATCTATAATGTATATTTTAATACATATATTAAAAAAGATGTATATTATATGTATTTTTTATTTTTCAGGTGTTTTGGCACCCGATGGTTATTGCAGACCTTTTGATGTCGCTGCAAATGGTTATTCACGTAGCGAAACAATGGGAGTGATATACCTCCAAAAAGCAAAGAATGCGAAAAGAATTTATGCTATATGTCCACATATTAAAACAAACAGCGATGGTTACAAAAAAGAAGGAATAACACATCCATCGATACGTATGCAAGGTACTTTACTAATGGAATTTTACGATGAGTGTGGAATACCATCATCTTGCTTGGATTACATTGAAGCACATGGTACCGGTACCAAAGTCGGCGATCCTCAGGAAATCAATGCTATTTATAATGTCTTGTGTAAGAATAGAAAAACTCCATTAATGATCGGCTCCGTAAAATCCAATCTTGGTCATGCTGAAGTTGCAAGTGGTTTTACTCAGATCGCTAAGGTAAAACAAGTGGATTTTGCGTTTATTAATTATTTTCAAATTTATTTTTTTTTACGTATCTTCACACACACATACACACACACACACACACACGTGCGCGCGCCCACGCACACGTAGATTTTTTGATTAATTGAACTTTATTAACTTCTCGGTTATTTTTTACACCAAATGTCTTTACATTAATTTTTCTACATGAGGTACTATAGGTTTCTATATGAGGCTAATCTAATTTAATTGGTCAAGATTATAATAAATTATATATCGCAGTAATTATGTACCACGTCTGGCTTTTACTGCCAAATTTGTTATTGTTATTTAATTTTATTTAAGAAAACCTTGATATATTTTTATTTGTTGTTAAATAAAAATGTACCATCTTTGGTTGAGCTGGATTTTTGTAGCTTAATAATATTTTTGTGTGAATTTGTTCTAGGTAGGGTAAACTTGGGTAAGATGGCCATAAAGGAAAGATGGCCAGCCCATGTTCATTCGATGTTTCATGATGAACTAGATTGAGAGAATAACATATAGGTTGGCCATTGCATCTTTCCTCTAGTTTACCCTATATTCTTTACAGTGATTTAAATGATGCTTATTAGCATCAACAAGTTAAATCGATTATCAATTTAAATATGTTGAATTTACTGTCCCAACAAAAACTTGTGTTTCAAGAACAATAAATAATCGGCATTTAGTTAAAGTGGAAAAAGTAGATAAATTCACATAAGTATAATATTAAGCTACAAAATACTAGCTCTCGACCGAAGATGGTATATCTCTACTGATTTATCTTATATATATATGAGACAATCCACGCCACTTTTACCCCCCATTTGTCCAAAATTAGTATGGACGGATTTTAATGACTAAGGACGGAAAACGTTCATCTTGAAAAGAGCTTTTGAAAGGCGTGTGGCATATATGCGCAATTCAACATGGCGTCATAGTTATGGCTGCTTAAAAGGATAAATTCAAAATTTCAGATTCAAGTACATGACGCCATGTTGAATTGCGCATATATGCCACACGCCTTTCGAAATCTCTTTTTAAGACGAACATTTTCCGCCCTTAGTCATTAAAATCCGTCCATACCAATTTTGGACAGATGGGAGGTAAAAGTGACGTGGATTGTCCCATATATATATATATATATATATATATATATATATATAATATATTTCAAAAATTAATTACATTTCAAAACTGTTATTAATTTTTAAGGTAATAATAGCGTTCGAAACCGGTTTTGTTCCACCAAATATCAATTATACATCACCACGAACCGATATAGATGCCTTAATAAATGGAACTGTTCGTGTTATCGAAGAATCAATGCCACTTAAAAACGGTTACATAGGTATCAATTCTTTCGGTTTCGGGGGATCTAATGCTCACACGTTATTAAAGTGGAACATGAAACAAAAAGTTAACAATAGTGTGCCGACTGATGATTTGCCAAGACTTGTAATATTATCTGGGAGCACTGAAGAATCAGTGAAATTGTTTTTAAATGACGTTAGTAGACATTTCAAAAGCATTCTCAACATCTTTTTGAGTTGACACATTATATAATTTTGCTTTAAAACATTATATACTTTTTGCTTTAAAAAATTTTTGATTGTAGGTCGCAAATCATTCGGTAAATATAGAATATATTCGTTTAATACACGACGTTCATGCGGACAGTATAGACGGCCACCGATGGAGAGGATTCACTATATTGAATACTTTGCAACCAGATTCAATAAAAGAAATTCAAAATTGTGAGAATGCGAAAAGACCGGTTTGGTTTATATTTTCTGCTTTAGGCTCGCAATGGCCAGAAATGGGTATGCAATATTCCGTCAAAATCTGGTTATTTTACGATTGAGCGTAATCGGAACCAATATAGATATATTAAAACATACTAGACAAAATGTGAATATTTCTATCGAATCTAATTCAAAACCATAGAAACTTATTTATACATACTATTGGCATAAGTTCCAGTTCAACAAAGTATGAGAGTAATTATGTTTTAATAGAAAATGCAGGTTTAAAACCCCAATTCATTCTTATTAGACCGAATAGGATTTTCTAATGGTTTTAATCGAGCGTTTTCAGCAGGGATACTTCATTTACTCTGGGAAAATTTTTTACCGATTTGGACCCACAGTTAAGGAGGCATATACACCTAGGAGGCCAAAGAAATGGTCATTTTTCTGGAATTTTTTTCTGAGAAACTATTGGAGTTATCGGATTGTGGTTTTTTGTAGTTAAAAAAATATATTTTGAAGAAAGTTAACAATTTTTTTATTGAAAAATATTTTTGAAATCGGATATGATACGCGAAAGATATTGTTATATATTTTAATATTCTATTTTATTTTTTTGTTTTTGTTGATTTTTGGCGAAGATACACCTGGTACCGTTTTTTTCCAGGCTGTCTTTTCACGACGCCATATCTCTGTCATTTTGCGAAATTTTTCAATAAAAAAAATTGTTAACTTTCTTTAAAATGTATATTTTTAACAACAAAAAAGCACAATCCAATAACGCTAATAGTTTCTCAGAAAAAATTCCAGAAAAATGACCATTTTTGGCCTCCTAATAGGTGTATATGCCCCCTTAAGCACTTTAACATTTTGGTTAGTGCCCTTTAAGTGAAAATTATCTTTGCGATATCTGAATATCAACAGAACTAATTGAGAGAATTGACTAGTAATATAACTTAAAAATCTTAAAAATCTTTGAAATAGATAGAATAGAATTACGATTTTTAGTTACGCGGTGTTATTTCTAGTCCAAATACGTAAAATTAAGGTTACGATATCCAAATAATTTGATTACTGTTATCATGGGCCCCAAATTTTTCCCAAAGTACAATAGCACTTAAATAATAATATACGTTTTTAATTAAAATTAGGTCGAAACTTATTAAAATTTCACGTCTTTGCAAATGCGATAAGAATGTGCGACGTTACTTTAAAACCATATGGTATAAGTGTCACGGATATTTTGACAAAGAAAGATGAAAAAGTGTGCGAAGACGCGTTGTACGCGTTTGTTGGCATTGTCGCTATTCAGGTAAAATATTATACTTCGAAGTTATATATAAAATAGTGTTACATATTCTATATTTATTGATAAAGCGATTGATTTAAATTCTTTCTATGTCAATTCATCGTATTAGAATTATCACCGTATATAAGTACATTTATTTTATCGCATTTCATTGGTTTATTAGAAATAAATTCTTCAAAGTAATTCAACTATAAAATTATTTGTATAAATTTGTAGATCGGCTTAGTAGATCTCCTAACATTATTAGGAATTATTCCGGATTACATGATTAGTCACTCTGCTGGTGAACTTGGTTGCGCGTATGCCGATGGATGTCTCACCATTGACCAAGCCATTTTGTCAGCATATTTTATTGGTTTGGCATGTACTGAGGGAAAAATAATTCGTAGCTCTATGGCTATTGTCAGTTATTGTGATTACGAATGTCTCAAAAACATGTGTCCAATGGATATTGAAATAATATGCCGCAACAGCGAGAATTGCAACGTTGTGAGCGGGCCCACAGAATCCATGCAAAAATTTATGAAAAAACTACTACAGGTAGCATTGAATAGCTCTCGTATCTTATAAGTGGATGGAAAACTTTGCTTAAGGTGATGCTGAAGCCGTCTGTATAACCGACAAAATTACCATTTTCTATATGTTATCAACCTATATCTGTCCTTGAATAAACAAGGATAGCATCTACATTGCACGCACACATACGCACGAATCGTCATGTACACTATACTCTTATATTAGACTTCTAATCTCGATTTGGAGGGTTCATCAATGTTTTTCTTGTTGTGCAATTCAGGGAAACTCGTTTTCACGCTCGTATCAATGCCATATCGAGATGCCATATTAGGATAAAAGTAATAGGTAAGGAAATCTGTAATTCCGTAACTTTTTCTCGGTTTCTATATCAAATCGGAGTTTCCCTGAATCATTGATGTACGTACTGCAATTATGGAAAGAAAATAGTAATTTTATCGATAAAACAGACGACTCCAGCATCATCTTAATGATCTTCAAATATCGAATTCTTAAATTCAAGCAATAATTTGCCACACCTGCATATATTCAATTTGTACTTTTGTATCAGATTAATAATATTCACGTGAGAGAGATACACTGCAACGTACCGTATCACAGTTCTTATCTCGAATCTGTGGAAAATCAACTTTTGCTTGATTTGAACAAAGTAATATCACATCCGAAGAAACGGAGTCCAAAGTGGGTCAGCACTTCCATACCTCGCATCGAATGGTTCACTTCAGCATCAAAATTGTCATCGGCGGACTATCATACACATAGTATATTAAGTACCGTTCTTTTTGAACAAACAACGCATCTAATACCAAGTAACGCAGTTACCATCGAAATCGCGCCACACGCCGTTCTGAAAGAAGTGCTAAATGAAGTGAATAATGTGGTATTGAGTCGACGTAATAAACAAAATATCGATGTAGTTTTACAAGGAATTGGAAGGCTGTATAACTGTGGTTTACAGCCGAAAGTTGCTAATTTATACCCGCCAGTGGAATTTCCTGTTAGTCGAGGAACTCCTATGATTTCCCCATCGATAAGGTACAAGATTATATGATATCGCAATTTAGATATTATATATTACCTACATAAGAAAAAATATATACATGCACTATCGTTTAAAGTTTAAAAGTTTGGAAGCACGACTTTATTAAGAAAAACAATAGTGGTGCCAATACTTTTAAAGAAAATCGTCTTATATGAGAACCTTTACTGTGTGTTGTGTTTATTAAACACAGTATTATTTGTTTCTAATCATTTTCCAAGGAAAGATTTTATGTAAAGAATTTCATTGGTATCACTGTTATTTTTTTTTAAAGATAATGCTTCCAAACTTTTGAACAGTATATATATATATATATATATATATATATATATATATATATATATAT